CCCCAAAACCCCAAAACCCCAAAACCCCATCTTATGAGATTTAAAGCATATTAGTTTTATTTTAAACTTAAAGTAAGAGGAGACAAATTTATATATTATAGTAAGAAAACACTTATTATTCAGTCTTAATCTGACATTTACTCATTTTCACAATCTATTGTTGTTAGAGGTCCATCTAATGACTCAAATAGCTCTTGGTTAGCCACTTTTATCACATTTTCCAAGTCGAATGCCACTGAGTTACACAGTCTAACATCCTTAGCTAGGAGAACCTTATTCATCAAGTATTATTCCAGATAGTTGAGTTCTTCATCTTTAGGATCGCAATAGAATGGCTAAATTGGAATTGCATTATTAATTTGTAATGCACAACAGAATAAATTATTGTCCACAATTACAACATTCTCTAAATTTCTGTTCTAGATAATAGAGAGATCTTTGATATATCCGAAGTCAGTAGACTTGCAAAAAGGTCTATACATTCTCATATCTATATACAATCTCTCGGGATCTACAATATTCAGGATGCAATCAGCGTAATTTTAATCACTGGCAGTAAAAATCACAATCTGAAAGTATTTAGCCATATTTTTAAGGAAAGTATGTAGATATGGCCTGAAAAATATGGCGATTTCTAGCCTATTATCATCTGGATCATCAAACTAAGTAATAATATTTGGTTTAACTGGATAGTTTTCTATTTCACTTGATGCTGCTGCATGTATAAGTGTCTCATCCATATCTAGGATAAGTAACTTCTTGAGAGCGAAGTTTTTCGGAGTGGGAATATTAACTTTTATTTAATTAACATCTGGTCTTAGTATTCTATTCTTGGTTTAATAATTTAAATGATGGCGGTACTAATTAATCAAGTAAAAGCTTTTAAGACTGTCCATTAGATGTTACCGTTAGCCATCATTGATTTCTAATTTGTCTATACTCATCTACGAATCGTCGCCCTAATTGTCATCACAAGTTTCAACTGACACCGAATTAAAGATATTTTAAGCCGAATTAGATAAATCGTCATTAATTTACCAGTTAGATTCTTACAACAACTTTGCTTCCTCAAAATGATTTTGATTTAAATGATTTTATTAATCGAGTTTGTGGTGCTTCTACGATTTGAATATTACACTATCCTTGAGTAAAGTGTTCATAACAAACTTATCTTATATTTTTAGCTTCAAATGAAACCTGTCTAACTTTTTGTTAAATGTATGTGTATCTTTTTCTCTTAATTCAAATGATTAGTGAAGTAAATTCATACTGTCATTTTCTTTAAAGCTTTTTATAAGAGAAGTACAGTTTGAGGTTAGAGGTCCAATCGCTACATCAACCCTACGCATATATTATTTTGGTGCCTGATAGATAAATTAACCTGGTACCTAGTGCAATTCCTGACTAAAATCAGATGTAGAGAGGTCGCATGATTAATTAAGGTTATTCATTATTCTTTACTTACTATCACAATCGCCTCCTCGAGAGTTCAAGTATTTTTTGCTGCTCCTCATTTTATTTTTATTAATGTCTTCATGATCCCTTGTTTTTATTCTAGGACGCAATAATGATATTTGATTCTTTAGTTACTTTGGGCTTGGACTTAGAGTTGAAGTTTGATTATAATCAAAAACTTATTACTTATCTCCTTTTAAATTGGTATTTGGAGAAAAAAGTGAAGTAGGAGATTATTTCTAGTTCAATACCTGCTTTTATATAAGAAATTTAGGCCTATCTTGTTGTTTTTTTACCTCTGCAATACCTCTAAAAACATTTTGAATTGAAGATGATGTTAAATTCTAGAGCAATACAGTATCCCGTGAAAACTATTGGACATTGGTATAATTATGAGAAGGATCATTGGAGGCTAGCTGTTACCCATGAGTTTTCATATTATAAATATTTTCACTATAATTTTTAATTTAGGGACTTTTGTTTTATTTTTCTTTTAAATTTTAACAATTAATTGATTCATGGGGTTTTGGGGTTTTGGGGTTTTGGGG